GTAGTAGTTGTTGTTGTTGTAGTGGTGGTAGTAGTAGTAGTAGTAATAATAATAATAATAGTAGTTGTTGTTGTCGTTGTACTAATGGTCGTCGTCGTCGTCGCAGTAGCAGTAGTAGTAGTAGTAGTAGTAGTAGCAGCAGCAGCAGTAGTAGCAGCAGCAGTAGCAGCAGTAGCAGTAACAGTAGTAGCAGTAGTAGCAGCAGGGGTAGTCGCCGTCGTCGTAGTAGTAACAGTTGTAGTAAGATAGTCGTCGTCGCAGTAGTAGCAGTACTAGTAGTGATAGCAGTAGAAGTAGCAATAGTGTTATGATTATTAGTGTTGTCGTAGTAGTTGTAGTACTTGTAGTAGTAGCAGTAGCAGTGGTGGTAGTAGTAGTAGTCGTCGTCGTCGTAGTAGCAGTCATCGTCGTGGTGATGGTGGTGGTGGTGGTGGTGGTGGTGGTGGTGGTGGTGGTGGTGGTAGGAGGTGGTGGTGGTGGTGGTGGTGGTGGTGGTCGTAGTCGTTTTCACACTCGGAGTCGTCGTCGTCGTCGTACTTGTCGTCGTAGCAGCGGCTGCTGCAGCATAGAGTAGCAGTACCGTAGTGGTAACCGTAGCAGGAACAGAGCAGGAGCAGCAGTAGAAGAATTAGCACTAGCAATAGCGGCAGATGTAGTCTTAGCCGCAGCAATAGAAATACGACTGCTACTGCTACTGCTGCTGCGACTACTCTACTGCTACTGCCCCTGCTCCTGCTCCTGGCCACTGTTGCTGCCACTGTTACTGCTGCTAACGATGATACTAGTCACTCATAATAATACCAATGGTAGCAACAATATTACTACCAATCATGTTAATTGTTAGCAATGACAGTGGTAACAGGAAAAAAACATACGAATGCTTAGCAGCAGCAGTAGCACTAGGAGGCAATGGCATCATAAACGTGCTTCCTATGCGAGTTAAGCTCCCAGCTCAGCTTTCCCTCTCCGATGCGGTTGAAACCCGCAACGGCGAAGTAGTAGCCCTCGCCCGAACTTCGGCTCGGGCGGTCCGAGCTTTCGGGTTTAGCGATTTGTTGTTCCAAGTGTCGGGCTAGCATGCTGCTGCAAGACTACAGATCCGCATGTTGGGGCGTAGGTATAAATAGCATCCTCGGCCTTCGACCCCGATGCCCTGAAGCCCAAGCACGGCACGGAGTTTGGAATGCCAATACGTGCATGCAGCATTCCGGTTCAAAGCTTTCGAGGCACTACAAAACAAATTGTGCTTCTACTCATGCCTGTCATCGTCATGTCCATCATCACTATCACCACCCTTACCACCACCCAGCAGCATCATCGTCATCAGCATTATCGATCGCCATCGCCGTTGTTGACCTGTACCACTGCTACCTGCCACCGCCCTCCTACTGCTGCTGCAGATCGTGCTGCTGGCGCAACTTCTTCTACTACTCAAACATTCTGCTAGTGCTACTACTAAGCTACTACTACTACTAC